TTTTGTTTTTGTTTTTTTTTGTTTTTTTTTTGGTTTTTTTTGGTTTTTCGAGACAGGGTTTCTCTGTATAGTCCTGGCTGTCCTGGAACTCACTCTGTAGACCAGGCTAGCCTCGAACTCAGAAATCCGCCTGCCTCTGCCTCCCATTGTGTAAAGAGTTTAAATACAGTAATGTTTAAAATGCCTTCATTACTTTAATAGATTTTAGTATAATTTCTGCATGTAAATTCTATTTGTGTATAATGATAGTATTGTTTTTTCTAATTCATATATCTTTGCCTACCTCTATTTTCTATATAATTTCCTATGTTCATAAAATGTTCAATATAAATATTTGATAGCACATATCTTTAGCAATTACTAAATTTTAATACAAAAAATTTAAACACTTCTATATAATATGTGAGTGTCATGGGGTGTTTGTTTTGTTGTTAACTACGTTGATCTGCTTTTTAGATTTATTTGTTTTTATGTTTATGTATGTTATATCTACATACTAATTCTATACACAATATGAGTTTAATGACTCTAATGGCCAGAAGACGGCATCAAATTCTTTGAATCTGAACTTAGAGATAGTTGTAGGCCACCATATGAGTAATGTCAACCAAATTCAGGTATTCTGTAAACAACATAAGTGCTCTTAACCTCTGAATCAACTCTCTAGTGTCTAAAGAAAACATCTTTACCATAAATCAATTAGCTTATGAATTATTTTTCCCACTTCAATTCATAAATGTCTCTAATTAGTCTCTTCAAATTCATATTTCATCTTTATTCTGATAAGTCTTTTGTTAAATAATATTTGATACTCAATTTATAGGTTCTCTGACATCTAGATGGTAACTAGATTTTTTTTAAAAAAAGAGGAATGATAATCCCAGCACTTGGGAGGCAGAGGCAGGCAGATTTCTGAGTTCAAGGGTAGCCTGGTTTACAGAGTGAGTTCCAGGACAGCCAGGGCTACACAGAGAAACCCTGTCTCAAAAAAACCAAAAAAAAAAAAAAAGAGACATGAACTAGTTATAGTACCCACCACTCCTGACAGTATGTAGAATGTCTTGTATATGGGGTTTTTGTGCTGACTATTGTAATAAATTGTTTGGGGTTTTTTTTGTCTTTCCAATTTTCATTACTGTGTATAGAATCTATGTTCTATATTAATTCTTTTTTCTTTTCATTAATTAATTTATTCACTGTGCATCCCTATTGTATTTCCCCCTCTACTCCTAGTCTCCCCTGCCCCCCTCTGCTTGACCTCTGAGAAGGAGGAGGTCTCCCATCTGTATGAATCCACCTGCCACATCAAGTCACTACAGGACTAGACACATCCTCTCCCACTGACACCAGACAAGAGAGCCCAGTTAGGAGAACAGGATTCATAGACAGGCAACAGAGTAAGGGTATGCACCTACTCCATTTATTGGGGACCCACATGAAGACCAAGCTGCAAATCTGACACATATATGCTGGCAGGGAGCCTAGGTTCAGCCCATACCTGCTCTTTGGTAGTTCTATCTACAGGAACCCCCAAGGGTTCACGTTAGTTGACTTTGTAGGTCTTTCATAGAGTCTCTATCCCTTCCAGGTAATAAAAGTTTATTATGTTGGGCACAATTTATTTTTTTCTAATATGTCAATTATAATAATTAGCAAAATAATTAAAACATAAAAATATGAAATGTCATGATATTTCCTGAAGTCAGGGAGTAAAAAAATGTGTATATTACTAATTCTATATTTCAAAGCTAAACTTAGAAATAGCCCACTGGGCTAGGACAAACAAAATAAGTTAATGGAATGAATAATAAAAAGAGAAAATACTTAATGGAAAAGTGATCATCAGTATATGGGAAATCATTTAAGCAAAAATGACCATACCTCATAAAATCATAATCTCAGTCTTTGACCTATAGAAAGTATGTCTATAGTAAAGTATGCACAAAGGGATAAATCTGGAAGATAAAGAGAACGAATAAATATATCAGTGTGTTTTGTAGATGATACTCCACCTCTATCATGTTACATGTCTACCTACTTATTCTACTATCCCTTCTCAAATTATGGCTGAAGTTGACACTTAATACAATTTCTGAAGGGATATAGTAACTAGTCAAAACTTTGCTAGAAGGAAGAAGCTGCATTTCCCAGGAATTCCTACCTATAAGGTTAAAAATAATAAAAAGGCACAATGAAGAATCCTGAAGAGAATTAACTGAAGATTATCACCATTGTCAAAGACATATGAAGAAATCTGCCAGTGATTTACCATGGCTGTGTCTCCTTTGTAAGTTACTATAGAATGACTCTTGAGTCCAAACAGCTTTTCAGATATACTGGCACGAGGGACCAGATCCCAGCCTAACAGAAATAAAAATCCTAGGGCTTTTCAGAAGCCCATGTGATAAGGCAGAAGAAAGCAAAGGAAAGTCCTTTAGAGAACTTAGGAGCATGCGCACTGTTGTACTGATAGTGCTGCAAACCGGACATGACGTTACAAAGTGAGAAATCTGTGACGGAAGACTGGTGTAAAGCTGCCAAAGCTAGTGTACAGAAAACTTGAGAGAAGGATTGTCTCAGGTACTGCTGATTGTTAAAAATATAATTCTAAATAAGGATGTAGGGGATTATCCCGCATTGAACAGAGGCCATCATGGCACAGATCAGAATCTTGCTTTTGCCATTAGGCCTAATTGAGCCTTCTCTGGGCTGTGATAAAATACAAATTTAGAAGTGTGATTTGACTTGGAGGCCTTGCTTCAAACAAGGGAGGTATCCTTAGAAAACATCTTCTGAGGAAGTATTAAGGAATCTGCTTTTGTATGGTAATGGCACAGCCAGGGCCCAGTCTTTTGGGCAGGATGCACTGTGAGAAAATGGAGGCCTTGGTCTGATAGACTTACTAATGGGTGCATATAAGGGAGAATAGGAGGTTTAATCCTTATAGACACAGGCCCCAAGGAATTATTTTGGGTTTTGCCTTCTGGAAGTAGCCACAATATGTTGTGGTTTGGTTTGTTCAGTGGACTGTCCCCAAATGACATTCTAGTGTATCTTTAAAAAGAAAAAAAGAAAAGAAAATTATTTAGCCATACCTTTAATTGTAGCACTTTGGAGGCAGAGGTAGGTGTATCTCTGTAAGTTCAAGGCCAGCCTCTTGGACAGATTGGGTTCCAGAACAGCCCGGGCTGTTCCAAAGAGAAATTTTTCTTGAAAACAAAACAAAAACAAACTAACCAACCAACCAAACAACCCCCCCCTTCAAAAAAATAAGGCAAAAGAAAGATTTTAATTAGGTGTACTGTTATATGTATGGCATATATATATATATATATATATATATATATATATGAATGAATATGTGACTGTAGTTACCAGCAAATACCAAGAGAGAGGTGTCAGATCTCCTGGAACTAGAAGTATATAGGCAGTTTGTGAGACACCTAATATGGGTGCTGAGAATAAACTACTCTTATTAACCACTGAATATTCGTTCCAACATGGCATTCGAGGGTTTATTAGAAAAATATGGTCTTTGGAGTGGAGGTTAGATGTTATTTTTTTAATATTTGTTTAACATTCATTGCTGGGCATACTATGTTTGGATCAAACTTACCTCCCATTATCCTTCCCTTAATTCCTCCCACATCCCTACCACTACTTTTTCCTACTGACTTCTTGTTTTTGTAGTTGTTCTTTTAATTTTTTATTTAATTTCTGAGGTAATAATACATGTCTTCCTTCCCTTTCTGTCCCTTAAATGTTCCCATTTGCCCCAACTCATTCTCTTTCAAATTCATGGCCTATTATTTTGTTAATTACTGTTGCACACACAGGCGCGCGTGCGCGCACACACACACACACACACACTCACACATACACACACACACCATACACACATATATATTCCAAAATATAATCTACATAGTCTAATGTTACTTGATATGTATGTTTTCAGCACTGACCATTTGGAAATGGAAAACTAAATGATATACTATTCCCTGGGAAAGAGAATTGCTCTTGCTTAGTATTTCTTCATCATCTGTAGTTCTTTGTGTGCTGCCTTGTAGGCTTTTCCCCATTCACTTTTGTATGTCTCTTTGAGTCATCCTTTTCAGCTCATGTTGAGCAGTCATGTTGGTGAGAATTTATGGGTCTCTGACATTACCAGGAGACATAATCCCTCAGAAAACTCCCCTGATCTTCTAGCTCTTGCAATCTTTCATTCCCCTTTAAGTCTATCCATCCCCTGTGGCACATTTCCTCTGACAAGTACACACTTTCTTTTTTTTTTTTTCTTTTTTTCTTTTTTTATTGGATGATTTATTTACATTTCCTATGTTGTCCCCTTACCCCATCCCCCACCACCCCCTCAGAACCCCCAATCCCCTCGCCCCTCCTCCTTCTTCTCTGTGGATGTAACCTCTATCTACACCCCCCCACTCCCACCTCCCCACCCTCAAAATTCCCACCCCCTGGGGCATCCAGCCTTCATGAGGTCAAGGTTCTCTTCTTCCACCTATGCCCAGCAGGGTATTTCTAATCATTTCAAATAGTGCCACTCCCTGGTGACTAAGCATTGAAATGTATGAACATGTGTAGGGCATTCTAATTAAGACCACCAAAAGGCCAGATGAAGAAAGCCAATAAGCAGCATTCCTTCATGGTTTCTGCTTCAGTTCCTGCCTCCAGATTGCTGCCTTGAATTTATGCTTTGGTTTCCTTCAGTGATGTACTTTAACCTGCAAGAAGAAATAAACCCTTTCCTCCCAAATTGCCTTTGGTCAGTATTTTATCACAGCACCCAAGAACCATAGGCCATGTGAATATTCAAGGAACCTCTCTTTGAAAGCTAGAAATCCACATGGACTAAATTCTCCCAAAGAAATGTTTAGCAGGGTGCTCATCTCTGGCTTTTTGCTCAACCCTAGAATAATCTGGAAGGAATAACTACAAAGAACATGCTTTATACCATCACTTCCTTTCTTATATTTTTTTAGTGAGGTGTGGCCTTTGATTGGAAGCACCGAAGCCAGACAATTAGAGGGAAGATTCAAAGGTGCTTTCAGGATTTAAGGTAAGTATTCTAAGTCAAAATTTAGAGACTTATCCACTTTAGAACACAGGTGACCTTGCAATGTCCACCTATAATGTTAGAACTTGGATACTGGAATGTACATATGAAGGATTCCTTTTTTACTTTTTTGTTTCCTAATACTTATGTAGTTAGTGCACAAACAGTACTAGCAATAGCAGAACCTTATTCAGTATTAGTAAATGATGTGTAGACATTGAATAAAAGTTGAAGAAGCATTCATTATGGTTATTAACTTCATATGCTTCACTCTGGCTTTCAAATGTTGAATTCTTGAAGAAATGGTACTTAGAATTTCATTTCTCTCTTTTTATTTTCCTGACTCAAAAATTAATATATTGTTCAAATGGCAGTCTTAGGATAAGATAGAGACGCATAGACAAGCACTACTAGGAATCTAGATTGAAACACAGATAAGACTAAGGCAGAAGAGTCAAAAGAAAACTCTAATAATATTGTCAGTCCAGTGTATGTTAGGTTTGGATAAGTATTCATCCTCTTCCTACCTGGAGATTTAAGGGGAAAGGTTTGTTTTCATAGACTCATGTCACATCAAGTAGCATAAAATATCCTAAACTGCCAAAATCAAAGTCATGGTACTGAATGAAATCTGAGAGATCTACTCTTCCAAGTGCATAGGTCTCCAAGAGCTAATATCCTCAGTTGTCACAGAGATAAGTTGGGTTTTGTCAGTTAGATTTTCTATACTCCTACCCACTGTTGTCTGAGGACATGAGAACTGGTTCTGGCAGGGAATTGAACTGGTAGCTATCAAACTGTAGAATAAGTACTTCAAGTAAAACTTTTGACTAAGGGCCAAAAGGAATCAGAATATCTGGATTAGCATAGCACTACTTAGTTTCTCTACATGCCCAAGAAGGCCCTATGTAAGACTGCCAGACTGTGATATATAGTGATTCCTTGTTCCTGTTGATTGAAGATATGCTAATAAATATTTTGTCTTAAGAAAATTATATCATAAACCAGACACTTCCATTGGTAAAAGAAAGGACAATTGTTGAGGCAGATAGATACCCCAAAACAGAATGATCTCAACAGAGCTGTCTCGCCATGGTTACAAATTATAGTAAGAAAAAATGGATGAATTGAATACCTTTAAGTTATTCCTTTGTGTTCACAAGGTCATAAGTATTTGGTATGATAGAATGTTAGTTCAACAAAAGGAAGGGGCCTCAGATATCAAGAGTTGTGGTATATAGCTTGAATGAACAATGAATAATTATGTGCAGTTAAGTATTAGAGTGATCACAAATTAACTACCCTGACACTCTGTTCATTCCTGTGAATAATTCAAATACAGACAGAGTCAGAACAGCTCAATTCATATACTAGGATCTGAGAAAGCCAGTAGTCAACTTCTGACATAGGTAAACTTAAGAAGACAAACCTACTATTTGGTTCTAAGTAAGGCTTCTAAGCATTGAGGAGATCACCATACTACTATACACACACACACACACACACACACACACACACACTTCCGTGGTGTTTAGTTCCTGCCCTTGGCCTAGAGAATTTTCAAATAAGCAGGGGCCTTACAGTTTTAGTCTTGGGAGCAGGATTTTTTTTCTTTGAAATTTTCAAAGAATTTTGATCATATTCACCCCTATTCCCCAACTTCTCCTATATCCAACCCTCTTCCATCCCTCCTCAACTTGTTTTGTTTTGTTTAGCCTATTCCATACTATTTGTACTTCCCATGTAGTTTTCAGTGTGTGTGGCCATCCACTAGAGTGTGGTCAACCTACCAAGTATTATATCCTTAAAGAAAATTTAATTTCCCCATACCAGCATCTATCATTTGTCTGTAGTTCCTCAGCTACAAATAGAAGTTCATGTACAAGTTTAGGAGGAAAACATTTTGTTATGGCACAGAATGTAGCTTTAAGCTTGTCAGATTCCATGTTGATCATACTTGTGGAGATTATGGAACCTTTTTTTTTTTATTTAGAAAAGTACTGGATACTACAGAGCCAAATATGTGTCTATTCTACACTTCTGATAATTTCATGTTGAGTTGGCTAACACTCAGCATGTCTTTTATTTTCCCATATCAGGTCTTCCCTGTGAGCCTTTATAACATAATTTTCACAAGTCTGTTGGAAGTGGCTTTAGTCATCATGACTATAACTGATTTTACTAGCTGATTACCCTCACACTCTCCCTTTCTCATTGTTGCCTTCCTGTCTATGCAGTCGCCATGTCTCAGTCTTCAGAAGAATTTGCAGCTGACCAAGGCCATACCAATGAAGAGACCCAGAAACTACAGCTTGCGGCAGCCTCCATCGATGTTGAGGAGCCGTGTTCCTCATCTCATCTTATATGTAGTAGTCTGAAGGGCCAGACCAGTGAGGAGACCCAGGTGTCCAAGGATGTGAAGGAACCATGTTCCTCCTCTCAACTTCTTATGGCTAGCAACCAGGAAGATCCTGCAGATGAGACACCCAGTACTTCTAGGGGTCTTAAGCATCCTTCTGCCTCTTCAAGCCAATCTGTCCGGGGTCTGGGTAACCAAGAGGTGCAGGGTAACCCAGTCATTCTACCAGGTCAGCCAAATACCACAAATTTACCTCTGATGACTGTAGATGGGAAAGTTGATTTCTTGGTGAATTACATGCTGTGCAAGTATCAGATGAGAGAGATGATGAGCATGGATGATATAATGAGACTCGTTATCAGAGAAGATGTAAATCATTTTCATGAAATCCTCATGAGGGCTTCTGAACGCATAGAGATGGTCTTTGGGCTGGAAGTGAAGGAAGTAGATCCTATCAATCACTGCTATGCTCTCTTTATCAAATTAGGTCTCACCTATGATGGGATGCGCAGTGATCAGTATAGCTTTCCTAAGACTGGTCTTCTGATAGTCATCCTGGGTGTAGTCTTCATGAAGGGCAACCGTGCCACTGAAGAGGAGATTTGGGAAGCATTGAATCCAATGGGTATCTTTGCTGGGATGAATCATCTCATATTTGGTGACCCTAGAGAGCTGATAACTGGTGAGTTTGTGAGGGAGCAATACCTGGAATACAAGCCAGTAGCCAATAGTGATCCTGTGCAGTATGAATATGTGTGGGGAATACGAGCTAAAGCTGAAACTAGCAAGATGAAAGTGTTAGAGTTTGTGGCCAAGGTTCATGGGTCACATCCTACTGCATTCCCTTCTCAGTATGAAGAGGCTCTGATAGAAGAAGAAGAGAGAACTCTTACCTTGCTATTACAGCAAGCTGGCCCAAGTTCTGCTCCTGGTGAAAGTTCTAGTGACACGAGCAGCAACTTCCCTAACATCTAGTACAACCAGAGATAAATTACTTCTGTATAATTTGCAGAATTTTTAGAGTTGAGGGGGAAAAAGTAGACCTAGGTTGATATAGAAAGAAGGGAGAGTCTTAGCTGCAGAGTATTTGTTTAAGTATCATGCCATTTTTCTCTCATTGTTTATCCTTTATATTTGAATGTACTTGCTCTTAGAAGCATTATTGTTTAGTTTCAAAATCTCTACTTAATGCCATTCACAAATTTAATAATGAGAGCTGTGTCATAACATAAAACTAATTGAGAAATAATCTCATCTATCTGTATAACTATCTGGGATAGCAAAACATGTGTTTCCTAAGCTTCTATCTTTTAAACATTTTGTTCTAATTATTTTCTTTGTACTTTTCCATTTCTCAGTAAAATTACATGCTTTTTGTGGAGTTGTTTACTTTATAGTTGCCAAGGGTAATAAAATTCAAGAAACTTTACCCCAATTTGTGTTCTCTTTTACTACCTAAACATTATTTGAACATTTATTATTTTTTGAAAATTATTTTACTTTACCTAGGGTTCTAGATTAAACTACCTGTAATCTATTCTCTTATAAATGTGTTGATGACGGCAGTATATCTTCTAATAGATTAAAGACAAATGAAACCTACTATTTATAGGTAAATCATCCTTATCATCCTGTTAAATGTAAATGTCCTGAAGGAGGAAAATGTAGCTGTGGTCATATGAATGTCGTCAGAGTGTGAATTTTAAGTTTTGAGGTGGAGAGAATTATGATCTAGTAATACTTGCATTTGCTACGCCCCACAGCTGACACCCAAACATTGAATATATGACTCTTTACCAGTTACTTTGTGATTTTGTTTACTTAGACCCAATTTTCATGCAGAGAGAGTTGAAAGTGTCCATCTCTGACCCCCACCTCTGTGCAGTTTAATGTTGCTAATAAATTAAGGCTTTATTTGCAAATAATATTGAGAACATTTTTATAGGTGACAGAGAATCAGAAGGCATTGGATTACCCAGTATATTACCCACTGGGTTACTCAGAAGCACCCATTACCCAGGAGGGGTGAAGTCAAAAATTATGCTGGTTAAGAGATGGTATTCACTCACTGATTATTGGATATTAGCCTAGAACCTTGAAATGCCCAAGATGCAACTCACAGGCCACATGAAGCCCATAAAGAAGGAAGACCAAGTGAGGGTGATTCGGTCCTTCTTAGAAGGAGCAACAAAATACTCAAGGGAGCAAATATGGAGACAAAGTGAGGGACAGAAACTGAAGGAGGGGCCGTCTCAAGACCACTCCACCTGAGTATCTATCCCATGTGCAATCACCAAAGGTAGATGCTGATGTGGAAGACAGGAAGTGCATGCTGATAAGAGCCTGATATGGATATCTCCTCAGAGGACTTCAAGAGTCAGACATATTCAGAGGCAGATGCTCACAGCTAGCCATTGAACTGATCATGGGGTTCTCAATAGAGGAGTTAGAGTGAAGACTGAAGGAGCTGAAAGGATTTACTGCACCATGAGGAGAGCAACAATACCAACCAACCACAGCTCCCAGGGTCTAAACCACCAGCCTGGGAGCACTTAGAGGGGGATCCAGGGCTTCAGCTGAATATGTAAAAGTGGAGGGCCCTGCTGGGCATAGGTGGAAGAAGAGAACCTTGACCTCATGAAGGCTGGATGCCCCAGGGGGTGGGAATTTTGAGGGTGGGGAGGTGGGAGTGGGGGTGGTAGATAGAGGTTACATCCACAGAGAAGAAGGAGGAGGGGCGAGGGGATTGGGTTTCTGAGGGGGTGGTGGGGGATGGGGTAAGGGGACAACATAGGAAATGTAAATAAATCATCCAATAAAAAAAATGGAAAAAAAAGAGAGAGGTTTTTAAATATATCTTTAGTATGATTTTAATTGTATATACTAATTATTGCTTAATATTTTAATAAAGATATAACTAATAAAAATATTTCTGATTTAGATAATGGTGAAGAGTTGCTCCTTGTCAAAATTGTAGGAATTTTTATATCATTAAGAATAAACCCATTGCCGAGAAGCACCTAAAGAAATGTTCAATACCCTTAGTCATCAGGGAAATGCAAATCAAAACAGTTCTGAGATTCCACCTCACCTCAGAATGGCTAAGATCAAAAACTCAGGTGATAGTAGATGCTGGCAAGGATGTGGAGAAAGAGGAACACTCCTCCATTGTTGGTGGGGTTACAAGCTGGTACAACCAATCTGGAAATCAGTCTGGCAGTTCCTCAGAAAATTGGATATAGCATTACCTGAGGACCCAGCTATACCACTTCTGGGCATGTACCCAGAAGATGGTCCAACATATAACAAGGACATATGCTCTACTATGTTCATAGCAGCCTTATTTATAATAGCCAGAAACTGGAAAGAACCTGTATGTCCTTTAACAGAGGAATGGATACAGAAAATGTGGTACATTTACACAATGCAGTATTACTCAGTTATTAAAAACAATGAATTTGAGGAATTTTTAGGTAAATGGATAGAACTAGAAAATATCATCCTGAGTGAGATAACCTAATCACAAAACAACACATATGGCATTCACTCACTGATAAGTGGATATTAGCCCAAAAGCTTGAAATAGCCAATATTCAACTCACAGATCACATGAAGCTCATGAAGAAGGGAAACCAAGTGTGGGTCCTTTGGTTCTTCTTAGAAGGAGTAACAAAATACTCAAGAGAGCAAATATGGAGACAAAGTGTGGGACAGAAACTGAAGGAGGAGCCATCTGGAAACCATTCCACCTGAGTATCCATCCCATGTGCAGTCACCAAAGGTAGATGCTGATGTGGATGTCAGGAAGTACAGGCTGACAAGAGCCTTATATAGCTGTCTCCTTAGAGGTCTGCCAGAGTCTGACATATTCTGAGGCAGATGCTCACAGCTAACCATTGATCTGTTCAAGGGGTTCCCAATGGAGGAGTTAGAGTGAGGACTGAAGGAGCTGAAAGGGTTTGTGGCCTCATGAGGAGAGCAATAATATTAATCAACCTGAGCTCCCCGGGGTCTAAACTACCAGCCTGAGAGCACATAGGGAGGGACCCATGACTCCAGCTATATGTAGGGGAGGATGGCCCTGTTGTTAATAGATGGGAGAGGAGATCCTTGGTCCCATGAAGGCTCGAGACCCAGTGTGGTGGAATTTAAGGGTGGGGAGGTAGGAGTGGGGTGGTAGGTGGGGCACATCCTCATAGAAGCAGGCGGAGGGGGATGGGATGGGGGGTTCCTGGGCTGAGGGGAATTCGGTAAGTGGATAACATCTGAAATGTAATTACAATATCCAATAAAAAAGCCAGATCAAATATCCTATTTGTAAATGTAGAAGATATTATATTAAGCAAAGAATAGGTTTCTTTATTATATGTAAGTGTGAGGAAGCAATAGCCTTATTGTCCATTCTTTAAAAGAAAGACAAAACTTGTGCTTTATGGAAATGTGAACCATAAATAATTATTTCAAATACCAGATAAGGCCTAGAGAAAAGGCAGTATGTTATGAAAATGTAGTTGGATAAAAACAAATCAAATGTCCATTAGAAGGAGATATGTATATGTTAAGGAAACCCACATTGAACATTTTCTGTGATTGAAATAAGAAATACTTGGCACAGAACAATTGTGATAGAAGTAGAGTGAACACTAATACTATACAGCTAAAAACATATTTTTATAATAGTCAGTACAAACTCATCCCCTAAAGGCTATGTACAGTACTGGTGAAAGAGAAGCTATCAACAAATGCAACCACAATTATGGAGACTCTGAAGGTGAGATTCTGAATTACAAAAACTCAAATTTCTCAGAAATATTTGTTAGAAACCAAAGGAAGTTTTGCAATTGACTTAATTGAAATCAAGCTCTCTGCCAAACACATTTAGAAAGTGAACTTTGGATTTGCTTTCGTTCTTCCAGATTCAAAATAAGTGGCATAATTTACTAATGAAAACAAATCACTGGCATTTGTATGTTTAATTATATCTGTAATGTTTTATTGATTGTTTTATTTTTAAGTCTTTGAAATTTTCACATAATGTAAATCTAATCACATTTAGGCCCTCCCCACCTCTTCTCAGATACAACCTTCATTTAATGTTAACAAGAAAACTTTGTGACTTTCTTTTGGAAAAAAAATATTCATCAAGTACAATGCACAGAACATGGAGAAGTTCATTTGGTACCTATAAGAAGCTTTCATTCCTATGTTTTGTCTCACTTTTCACTTCTGATTTTGGTTTTTGGATACTGTCTCTCTTTTAGTTAGTTTGGCTAAGGGCTTGTTAATCTTGATTTTCTCAAAGATCCAGATCCTGTTTTTATTGATTATTTAAAATATTATTTTCTAATTTGACCCTCAATTTTGATAATTTCCTACTCTGTACTCTTCTTTGGTGTATTTACTTCTTTTTTCCCTAGAGTTTTCAGTTGTACTTTTAAATTGCTAGTGTGAGGAATCTCTAATTTCTTTATGCAGGCATTTAGTGGTATGAATTTTCTTCTTACCACTGCTTTCACTGTGCCCTATAATGTTGTGTAGTTTGTGCCTTCATTTTCATTGAATTCTAGAAAGTCTTTAATTTCTTTTTCCCCTGACCCAGAGATCATTGAATAGAGAGAATGTTGTTCAGTTTCCATGAATGTGTTGCCTTTGTGTTGTTTTTGCTGTTGTTGAAGTCCAGCTTTAATCCATACTGGCCTGATGAGATACAAGGAGTTATCTCAATTTTCTTATATTAGTTGAAGCTTGCTTTGTGATTGATTTTAAGGTCAACATCAGTGAAGGTTCCATGTGGTGCTGAGAAGAAGGTATATTCTTATTACTTTAGGTGAAAAGTTCTATACATACCTTTTAAGCCCATTTGATTCATGCAAGTTAGTTTCATTATTTCTCTGTTTAGTTCTTATTCTGGATGACCTGTTGGTTGCTACAAGTAGAATATTGAAGTCTCCCATTTTTAATGTGTGGGTTTCTTGTGTGTTTTAAGTTTAGCAATGTTTATGTTACAAACAGGAGCCCTTGAGTTTGGGACATAGATGTTCAGAATTGAGATGTCACCTTGGTGGATTTTTCCTTTGATGAACATGAAATGTTCTTCTCCCTTTCTCCCTCCCTCCCTCCCTCCCTCCTCCTCCTCCTCCTCCTCCTCCTCCTCCTCCTCCTCCTCCTCTTACTCTTTCTTCCTCTTTCTCACTCTCGCTCTCACTCTCGCTCTCGCTCTCTCGCTGGGAAAACTTTTTCCAGAGCATTATGTTGAAGTAATGTTTATTTTTACTGCTAAGGTGTGTTTCTTCTGTGCACCAGAATGTTGGATCCTGGTTTTCCATCCACTCTGTAATCCTGTGTCTTTTTATGAGGGAATTAAGTCTATTGATGTTGAGAGATATTAATGACCAATGATTGCTAATTCCTTTTATTTTGATATTGGTGGT